AAGGCAGTGAGAGACGGATGTGGAGCCCTGAGGTCACGCTGGCTTATTGACTAGGACAGAGAGACGAACAGGGCCAGACAAACAATTTGTTCCCTCAGACCTCATTTACATTGATGTCGAGCTCCAGGAAGCTTGTCGGGGTTTGGGACAAATAAAAAACAACTAAACACACTGTCTGACATGTCAAAGCAACAGATAGACAAATAAACAGACAGCCAGAGTCACACAAGCATGAAGATAGATCGTGATGAAACATATAGTCAGGTGAATGTGATACAAGTAAAGGTCGGCTACATGTGCACGACAAACTGGCCTGTCCAGGTTCAATTGCACAACACAGAAACGTTGCTATAGCAGTTGCTGGTGCTCTGCTGTTGTATAAGTAAGAACAGCGAGGGCCACAGCGTGTGTGACACAATAGCAAGTAAAAAAATAACATCACAACCTCATCATAGTTGAAATCTCCCCTGGGCGCCACCCACTCGACTCTCAGGCACGGCTAGTGAATATTTAAAACCATATTAATTTTTTTGCGCCCCTTGACAGCTCCCATGATGCATCGCTGCAGCTCTCTCCCGTTTTTGCTCTACAATTTACCCACATGGCCCGGGGGCCTGTGACTGTTGAAGCTCAAGCGGCTTGTTTAAGCACAGTGATTATGTATTCATTATTTATTTACGGACGGCCTTACAGAGCCCTCACTCCATCACCCCTAATTAGCGTGTCTTAATTAGGCCCTGCTAATGGCCGGAGCTGTCGTTGAGCTGAGCGCAACCTGCTGCTTCTACCTAAATGACACATCTCCCAGGGATAGCTTGCTGCTGTATAGCTGCCGCACTGGACACGGGACGGCTACATTGCTTTTTAAAGGCCAATGGAAATTAAATTGCTCTTTTTTTTCTGCTGCAGCATACAGATCTGCTCTGTAAATTGCATATTCTTCGCTCTCTTTTGAGAAAAGAAAACAGCATCCCAAAGTGAAAATTGTATATTTTTTTGTTTTCGTAATCTCTCCGCTCATATACCAGTTTCTCTGTCTGTGGGGGAATTCTGCACTGCTAACATGATTTTGCAGGCTTGAAAGCTAATTAGCCAGGCCACTGTAGGACATTGAAGTGTAAGTGGACCCCCCCCTCCCCCCCTACACACACACACACTAATATCTTGCCTTTGTCTTTAGTGTGAAAGGTTACAATCGGTATTCTTTCCCGGGACTGACTCGTCAATAGTCGCAGGTGTTTACCAGCTCCAGCCCCGATCGGCAGCGTTGAAAACATGACACACAGAGTATTTCTGATTAATCTCTAAAAAACTGTTTTTTACTTCCAAAAATACAACAATCACGCTGAAATTCACTTTTACATGTTTTGACTGCAAAGATGAGTTTACAGATGGTGATTTCAATTCGAGGGTGATTGAACTTCACCGTGATGGAGAGCGATTGCAGTTCTGTATGCGCTTGCAGCTACCGATTGTTCACGAGGCTTGTTTTCAATTTACCATGATTACTCATTCCCTCTCCCACTCAAGTGCTTGCAGATATGGATTTGCGTTTCAGTGTCTGTTTCATCTTCAGGAATCCAGTGTGTAACTCAATTTGCCTCGGGTTTCATGATGATTGATTGATTACTTGAGTTTGCTCATTCTCTTAATGAAGACTGAGGACCGGTGACGATCACTCAATTACACTTTGCTGTACATTAAAGAGCAGGGATCAGGAATCCATTTCTTACCTGATCGCTGTGTCGCGCACGTGCCGATAAAAGCTTTGTACACATTATTATCGACTCAAAGGTTCTGCAGCCTTTTCTCAGCCGTCATTGTAAACGTGATCTGACATGACAAATTCAGCTAATTTTAAAATCCATTCATTGTTAAATGGCATCCGACTTAAGAGCAAGAGGGAAGGTTCAGTAAAGATCCAGAGATGTCTTTGAAGAATGCCTCCTGGTGCCGATCAGGATTACCAGGTAGACCTCTATGGGAATGGAAATCAGTTTGAATTAGGTTACTGTACGGGAGATGTACGTGTGGTAGCGGTAACAGTGCTGCAACACCGTAGAAACCGCACGGCAACCCCCAGGGCTGTCTGTCAGTCAGAGAGGGTGAAAGACGTGGGGAGGGAAGCGAGGAAAGAATGACGGGGTAATAGCATATAACTGCACCTATCCAGCATCAGAATAGGAGGCGAGGATGAAGTGGAGAGGTTGGAGGGAGCTGGGACAATGAAAGGGAGGGATGAAGAGAAGAGGGCAGGCGAGACTAAACTCTAAACTCTGTCTTTTTCTGCTCAAAGAGAGAGCAAACTGCAGCGATGTGGAAAGGTGAGGACGAGGGCACTTCTGTTTTTGCCTGAGCTCTGAGACAGAGATAGACGGGCGAAGTGAAAAAAGGGAACACATGGAAAGGAGAAGGCAGAGGATGAAGAAAGAGAGGAGGAGGAGGTGGTCAGGGCAGAGTGGCATAACAATGCCCAGGAGGGTGCAGAAAGACCGACTGCTTGTTCCTCACTTTGTCCTCAGAGAGCTGGCGTAATAGAGCCCTTGATTCCAGGCTGCCACTTAGGATAACGAGTAGGCTAACTGCAGTCTGTCTCATCGTCGCCCTCCTCCTCCTCCTCCTCCTCCTCCTCCTTCCTGTTCTCCTCCTCATCTAGCATGTCCTCATCCTCCTCTCTTTGTGTAGGTTTTTCTCTTGTCAGCTTCCACATCCTCCAGTCAGCAAGGTAACTCCAAAATAACTGTTCTTCCGTGGCTTTGACCTCTCTAGGAGATGGATTCGGAAAAGCCGGATTTGATTTTTGTTTGTGTTTTCCAGAGCAGAGAAAGAAAAACATGACATGATTTAACAAATGAAAATACTGCGCCATCCACATCTACGATTCGACTAAAGCTAGAGCCTCATGATTCAGTAGAGACAGAGCTTTCAGGCAGCGCCCTTGTCTGATTGTCACTGTTGATGATTTGATTACAATGATCTTCCATTATCCTTTACGCCAGATGATGAAATAGAAGGCAAGACTTTTGGAAGCATGTTGTATCCTTGCTGTACCTCACACATTCAATCCTGTCAAGTCCAAGGTGCGACAACAGTGAGTTTCATCGTCCTAAAACGCCGCCGCGCTTTCAATGTTGATTTGACAGCAGGCTGAGGGGCATAATCATAGCTGACAGTTTTGGCTCGGTAAAAAGAGAAAACGTTGAGTCTTTTGTTGAGGGTGTAACCCTCTGTTGTTATAGCGAGACAGTCAAGTTTTTAAAAACACCTGAATGAAACTAGCTGAAAATAGCTATTTGCATATTTTTAGACTCCCTTAACCATCAGTGTCTGTTATAAATAGTATCCGACTGCTCCGTTGTACTTTGAACGGTTTCATCCAGCCTTATGGGGGAGAAGAGGATGATTCAGATTCAGCTCCATTGTTTTGTTTTGTTTTTATACCGGCAGACCTCATGCAGCTCTTCCCTTTAAAAACTCCCTGCACTTTTATCACACTGAAATTCACAGGCAGCAAAGAGCATTGGATGTTTTCTTGAGGAGTGGGGAGAATTAATATCCCTTTCTTTTTTTTTTTAGAGATGGGCTTGTTAAGAGTATCTGCTGTAGACTCGTGATTTTGAAGCAGTGTCCTTTTAACCCAGCATTGCTGACCTGAGGGGAGAAAATAAGGTGCTCCGCTCTCACTAAATGTAATTAGTAAAATGTGAGTTTTTCCTTTAAAGTCTGCCACGTGGAAAAAAAAGAAATATGCTGCAGGTTTTTTAAGCAAACCTGCTTCTCAGACAAATACGGGTCATTTTTGAATAGATAAGGCCCTAATCTGCAGGACATTTCATCAACAGTTAATCTGCTGCAGAAATTCTATTAAAAAGGCTGTGGGCTCATTAGCCAATAGATCTTAATCCCATTACTGCCTGGGCGGTGGGGGACCATGAGCCCGCCTGTCTGTCGCTCTATGGGGGATACTGTCGCAGGCAGTTGTATAGAAGGTCAGACACGGCACACTGCCATTTTCATAATGAGAGCAGAGCATCATGCATCATGCAGAAAAAAACATCACAGACTATACAGACACATTCAATCACGGTGCATGTCTGGGCCTAACATATTTAGCGCTACTGTCTCATAACAGGCTTTATTTCCTCTCTCGTGTGGGCCTGGCCCTCAGTTTAATTAAATGTTAGCTGAAACATCAGAGTGATCTGTCTCTGTTTGTATTATGCTCATTGTTGGAAATTATATTAGATTTGTTCTTGGTTGATGTTTGCAGAAAAGTTACCCGGCCCCTTGTTGAAACAAAAGGGTTGGATGTTGGCCTGTTGTACACAGAAACGGGGAGTGAAAAGGAGAAGCAAGAGGGAAAAAAAATACATCGAGGAGAGCGTCAGAGCATGTAATCAAAGTCTTTTATTAAAGACAAGAGCTGAAGGAGGAGGCAGAGTCAAGGATATTTCAAAGTGGAGCTCTGTGAAAACAAACACGAGCTCCATCTATTGACAACCGCCCACAGGATGTGTTAGAAGCTGCGTTAAAGCCCTTTGATGAGCTTCTCCACACGTCACCTCATATTAACTCCTATTGTCCAAGTAAAGTTCAATAACAGTGTACACACACCTCAGACTTTATTTGTTTGCCTGCATACGTTGGAGGATTAGACTGTGTAGGATTTTTTTTACTGGCATTTCAAAATGGAAGCCCATTAAATCTCTGTCTTCTAAGAATAGGCTTGTTATATTCAATCATTCCCTTCATTCATTCCCTGCTATCTTTTATTGATACAGATGTCCTTTTCTGGCTAGGCAGCTGCATTTGATCAATGAAGCCTACGGACTGGATTCACTCAAACGCCAGACACGTTGTTGTATCAATTATAAGTCAGTCAATGTTGAAAATGCCTACCGGGCAAGAATGAGGCTAAATAGCTCATTCACTGTAAAGAGCTTTTTTCGAAAGCAACAAGATAGCGACTGTATGTGATGTCTTCTTGCTCTTCTTTTCAGATATTGATGAGTGTGCGGACGGCTTTGTCAAGTGTGATGGTAAATCCACTTGTGTCAACTTGCCCGGCTGGTACCACTGTGAGTGCCGTGATGGATACCATGACAACGGCTTGTTTTCCGCCAGTGGGGAATCGTGCGTAGGTGAGTGGTCCACCGTCACTACCGAAATACACACAGTGATGGTGAAAAAGGTTTCATTTTTATTGCGATTTTTAGGATTGCAACTTGGATAAGTCAGAGCAATCACTTGTGAGTTCATCTCGTGTGAAACGGTCAATTTTGGTGATGAAATTATTATTATTTTTTTATTTCTTTATTTTTCAGGATAGTATATCCCCATGCACGTTCATTAGGTTTGAAAAAAACATTCCATTTTGTATGCAAAAATTTACATTTTTAAATGTACCTTTGACCTTTGGAAGTCGTGATGCCAATTGGACGTACAATCGTCAACATGACAATGTCACATCACCTCAGATTTTAGAGCTCTTACACTCAAATGAGATTTGAATTCTGGTTCATGGTTTTTAGCATTGCAAGAATATGACGTTGATTATACGATGTTATTGGATCTTATGGCTCCACAATGCCCCATTACTAGAAAACACCCCATTAATTTCCCATTGAATGGCCCCTGATTTTACATCTCAGTCCCATCACAGATTAAAAGGTCTTTTCTTTGATTTCTAGATTCAGGGTTGAGAGCTTAGAGAAGCACTGAAAATAGTGCCTTTTAATGAACTTGGTTGAAGAATGTGAGTCACCCGCCATCAAAAACTGTCGTTACACTCCTGTAAATAGTGGTATGATTGGATAGGTGTGTCATTATCAGTGTGTTTCCCTCCCAAAGCTTTTGCTTTTTTGCAGCCTGCTGATTTTCTGTAACATTCTCTCTGATACAGCCTGTCAGGAGAAGTGTCAGCTGTCACAAATGGAAACCCTCAATCTACAGCAACATCGAAGCATTGCCTGTAACAATAGTACTAGCGCTGCTCGGCTCGTTGACCCCATCTTGCCTGTCAGTGTGAGTTGGCAGAGGCAGGAAAAAAAAGCACATTAAAAGCACTCTCAAAAAAAAAAAAAATGAACCTGCCCGGGCTTCACAAATCAAAGGTATAATTTCACCAAAAGTAGGTTTCTGGGTTACATTACAGTTGTACACTGTATGTTTCATCCTGGAGCAGAAAAAGGTTGTTTTGCTACATTTTACAGCTGCATTTGAGCTGCAACTTCCGGGTGCATAGAGCAGGACATTGTCTTGGCCAAGAGGACAAAGATGTAACAGGACATGCTCTTTTACCTTGTCCCCATGTTACTAGTGCAAATATTAAAACGCTTGTAATAAAAAATCGGCCCCATTTCCATAAGCCATGCATAAACTGTGGTTCTGCACTGAGCATATGTATGATGTCATCTTTGTTTGTGCCCCCCCGCAGATATTAATGAATGCAAGATGGGGAGGAACACCTGTGCCAACGACACAGTGTGCTTCAACTTGGACGGAGGCTACGACTGCCGGTGCCCCCACGGGCACAACTGCACCGGGGACTGTATACATGACAACAAGGTCAAGCACAGTGGGCAGATCTGGGTGCTGGACAGCGACAGGTGCTCTGTGTGCTCCTGCCAGGTAAGAAACAGAAGGAGATGGACATGAACATCACAGAGATGGCTGAGACAGACAGAGAGAAGCCAAAGCAGAGGTAGATGGACTGGCTGAAATAGACAGAGATGGACAGAAGTGGAAAGATGGATGAGATAAGAGAAAGATTGAGAAGCAGATAGACACAGAATAAATGTGCCCAGTGCCGTAGAGAGTTGAGTAAGGATGTTCCCTCTCTGTATTACTGCATGTGCACCCAACTGGTCTATGGTTGAGTTTTCTGTTCTTTGTTTATTCTCTCTCTGCTATTCTAGAGTATAACAAAGAATAACAAACTGTAAACCTGTTCTTCCCTATGAATGATGACGTCTCCCACAGTGCCAATCAGCAAAAAAAGTCTCCTTGTATTGTCCTGTAATCATACTTCTCCCCTTGAACCAGTCTGTGATATTTATAAAAAAAAAGATGGAAGCACAGTGGTGCAATGGATGAAGAGATTATTTTAATCAGACATGGCGTGACTGTGCATGAAAGACCAATGTCATGCCACCTTTAGGCAAAAACTATTATAATAACCCATGAGAGTCGTGACTGTGAAGTCAATTCTCCAGGAGCATTTCCAGGTTCCAGTTTGCTCTTTCGTTCACTATAGTTATCTGAAAAGAGTCTAAATTAAACATTGACTAGTGGCTAGTGTGGTGTAGAAGGGGTCGCTTGTGGTAATGAACCCAGAGGTAACTATTACCAACATTTCGGTCAGAGTCACTTCTACAGACAGTGTCTTTCACCTCATGTTTTAATATGATGGCCACAGAAGGCAGCGGTTTTCAGCTAAACAGCTCCACTGTGCATGCACTACCTTCCCAGCACCCAACAGCAGACAAAGTTAGAAACTAAACAGAGCTAAAAAGAACATTGGACTTCATTGGGTCACCAGAAGCACAACTCCAATTTAAGTTACAGAATCAGAAATGAAGATGGGGCTTGTTGTACACCAAAAACAGCTCTGGACTACCTTAAAACTTCCTGGTATTTATTTAAACAAGCAATGTGTGTCATTTATGTGTCATCAGGCTTGCTTGTCTTGTACTTGTGCTGTTGTGATAAGCACTTACATTAAAGTACAGGATGAGCTATACGTAGTGACTTTCAAAGGTGAACCAGAGTGATTCAAGCTTTTGATGTAGTTGCTTTGATTGATTTCTGACACCCCAGTGACAAGGCATCCAGGAACATATGGTCCACAACACTCACTCTATCATCCCAAACACATTTTCTCTCCATGATTATCAGGTCATGGACCAGTCATACTTTGCATTTCAGCGTTTCACTCAAAGTAATGCCAAGTGTCTGGCAGAAGTGGAAGGTGATTATAGTGGATTAGTGTCGGTAGTGAATGATCAAGCAACAAATTATTCATTTGATTACAAAGGACCAGGGCAGAAATGGCTCCTTAATTAAATGAGTCATATTAATTGATTTGAGAGATTGAAGAGCTGCCCGTCAAAATGAGTTGTACTGAGCGACTGAAGAAGCAGAGGGGTAAACATGTTATTGTTTAGACGGACACAGCTGGATATTAGACGGAGAGCTGCGACTGACTGATGGGAGAAACCAAGGTCAAACATCACAGAGAAGACAAAGACTGGGATGTGTCCAGACTGAGGTCATGCAATATGCAAATAGTTCACTGTTTGAATCTGCTTGGAGCACCAGATGGGTGGGGTTTAGCACTCGAGTGCATCTTTAATAAGCGGGGCAGCTAATTTCTATAACATTTCAGAAATAAAACTACTTTTATTTAACTGATATCGCTGCAGCTCCAGGGCAAGTGGTCCAGAATCCTAAATATAGAAAAACTACTGCACAAAATAATATTTGGACATTGAAGAACCTGCTGGTATAGAGTTGTCGCTCTCTCTCTCTCTCTCTCCTCTCATTTGCTGCCATCTCTCTTCTGTCAATAATCTAATAAAGGCTTTAAAATGCCAGAAAAAAAACAATGTATCAACTAATTGTTTGCACATTAAAGTGGCACCATCAGATGTGAGCTGAGAGAAGTATGTGACAAAGGTAATGAGTTGAGTTCAGACCCAGAGCCGTCCCTGTATGTGGAAGGCACCGTAAATCACTAGACAGCCAAGTAGCACTTCTTCAAACACCACACTAATAACCAGGAACCCCTGAAGAACCACTGAGCTCATAAAACAATATTTAAATTGTGTGTCTTTCCCCTCAGACTGAAAAGCCATAAAACAGAGCTTCAAATCAGTTGCCAGGCTGCACACAGCCTTTGTTACAATATTTACGATCAACATACATGTTTAACGATCCCATCAGACAAATGGCCTTGTCTTTGCATGCACGGTACGTGTGTGTTCACGTGATATATGGGTTTGTGCTCCCCCGCCCCAGGCCGGCCAGGTGATGTGCCGCAGGATGGTTTGCGACTGCGACAACCCCAACGCCGACCTGTTCTGCTGCCCCGAGTGCGACCCTCGACTGAGCAGCCAGTGTCTGCACCAGAACGGCCTGCTCACCTACGGCAGCGGGGACACATGGGTGGAGAACTGCCAGCAGTGCCAGTGCCTGGTAAGTAGGGCTGGATAAATAAGCCCCCACATGTTTATAAAGCTTACGACGCATGAATCCAGTCGATGCTTTTATCAAGAGCAATTTGCGGTGACAGCAAGAAAAACACCATAAGCATTCATCTCTGCGACACAGTGCCAACACAACAGACAACAAATACTCCAGTCTCCATGGAAATGCTCGCAAATTATAGAGTCGCTATGTAAAGAAAGTCAAAGAGAGAAGTTTTGCGGGGAGAGCTATGGAGTGATTAAGAGGTGAATAGGAAGGTTGCCGAGAGGAGAAAATGAAGATTGCTTTTACAACTCGTGGCAGAGGAAACGGAGTAAGTGATTACTGAGATTTTAAAGAACTCAAAGGACGGTTGTCTGCTGTGATGGAAGTATACATCTTCATTGAAGGACTCTTCCAAGGTTGAGAGAACAGGAGAAAATGTGTGTGCCTGGAGAGTGGGAGGTGTAACACTGTGTATCGTCTCTGTGTGTGTTGATTGATGAGTATTTGCAGCATGTGTGTTTTTGTGTTGTGTCGACTGTCCTCTACATGCAATCCTATTTCTCATATAAAACAAAATAACATTGCGTTCACCGTATAAATCTTTCACAGCGAGACATATGCACTATTCTCTTCGTGGTCTTCTGCTGCGTCGACCTTTTCCAAGGTTTACACAAGTGTTTCCCAGTGAGCCTGACAGAAACAGTAAATCCTTCTACCTGTGATGCCTCTCTCTCTCTCACCACACATAGCCATTATGCATATGAAATGCAAATGTCATCCTTTACATTCTAACACACTGTCTTGCCACGACCACACTCGGCTGTACCACACACCCACACTTGTGTCACTCCTTCTGTTGAGCGACTCACAAATCATCCTCACTGTGGATCTCAGACAAGCACTTTGCTCCTTTTCCTCCCTATTTCTCCCCTTTTGTTGCTACTAAAGATCAGCCATAGAGGATATAAGTTGGCTCTATTCTACCACAGATTTATGGTCTGAGAAGCAACACTAATGCCATTCTTCCCCCCCCCCCCTGCCATTAAAATGCTGCCCTGATGCCCGGACCCGAGGGTTGCTTTTTAGATTTCTTACAGCGAGCCATTATATAGGCGCTTGAAAATCACTGCTCAGCGGAGAGGCAGCGGGGAAGCACAGTCGGCTGAAAATGGGCTCGCTCGGCTTCACTCTCGCTGAGGCTGTGCACACTGTCGGCACTTATATATGTTGACACAAACAGACACAAACACATTTGAGAATGCGGGCGCGCCGGTCCCAGCAGCAGAGCACGCGCGCACATGCAGTATACAAACACGAGTAAGTACATGGTATTCACCATGTCCACACACATGCAGTATACAAACACGAGTAAGTACATGGTATTCACCATGTCCGCACACATGCAGTATACAAACACGAGTAAGTACATGGTATTCACCATGTCCGCACACATGCAGTCCGTGTTTGAGAATGCAGGCACCCCTGTCACAGCGATAACACATGCTCGTGCTTCCATACATCCACGCATACACACAGTCAGGCTTAGAACACACTCGATTAAAGATGCACAGGAACAGATATGCAAAGCAAAAGACCACCAGCCATGCAGTATAAAGAGCAGCATTTGAAGGAGAAAGGCTGCTGCGCGATACCGTACCGGGGCTCCGGTAGCGTGACAGGGACATGAAATGAACCTTGAATGCTGCCACACTTAGCAGAGCCATGGCTGTCCAGGCTCAGCAGGGGCCTTAAAATACACAGTGACAGCAGCCAGATGGGCAAATCATTCTCCCAAGACCAAGACCTTCTCCGCTACCCGTGGAATCATTGGAAATCAAGAATATGGCCTTTGGAGAATGTGCACACATGGGCCCCTTGTGATGTGCTATCTTGTTAAATCACCAGTAGATCAAAGAAGCAAATTCCTTTCGCCATAGGTTGCACTTTAGGTCGAGGCAGATGAAAGAAAGACAGCGTGATTACATGCCGACTGATTCCCAGGCAAATATAAATATAATATGACTAGTTTTAATCTTCTGGAGGAACATAGGGAATCCTTACATCTGTCTAAGTAAAAGCAAAGAGATTAAACAACAGATACTATGACCACTGAATGCAAAAGCCAGATTGAAATAAGATCCTTTTGAAATATCCCAAAGAGATTAAAGAACAGCTTCAGTTTTAGGTTGATCAAGCTTCCATGACGCACCGCTCTCTGTGAAAGGAAAATAAAAGCTGATTGTATAGCAAATCTCTTCCTCCTTTGTGATCTTAGGCCACATCTGCATAAAGATGATAATGTCCCTTTTCGCAGCGTGGGACAGATACCTGAGGCTACATTCAATCCCTCCCCCTGGCTACGAGCAAAGAGTGCCACTCGGGGGGATTTCCCACTTCAAATGTTTACACACCACACAGAGGCAGGGAGTGGGCATTAGCGCTGCGTGAGCCTTTGCTTTATAGCCGGCCTAATTTACTACAACATTTCAAAAATGCTGAGCCAGACGATTTTCAGTGATATTAAATATCCCCAGTGGGACACTTGCATCAAGCCTCATGTAACTTAATGTGCGTATGCTTTTTATGTCTGCGTCTGCGCTTAAACATATATAGTCTGAGCCCATATTTCATTTCCAGAGTAGATGTGAAGCAGGAAGGCTCATTGATAGCAGCGTAAGCAGAAGTGGGTCAAGCCAGAATGATATAGCGTACAGTAGTTAGGATGTGTAAAGTCACATACTGTATATACAGTATATATGACCTGTTTTCTCAGGCCAATAGAAAATGGCAGCGGGAGGAATCCAATAAAGCTCTCAGTGCTGAAAGTTTGCTGTGAGATTTAATATGGGAACAACAATGAGAGAGGAAAGCTGGAACATTTACTTCTACTGTCTGAAGAGAAAAACCTGCTGACTGTGTTGGAGGATTGCTCTGCTCATCTATATTTTCTAGGTACCTTAACAACCTTTTTTTTCATTATTAAGTGGAGACGCTCCCTCTGGCATGCAAATATACAGCGTCAGGAGAAATATGTGTATTTGCATGAATAACCTGTTTTGGGCTGGAAAATGCGATTTTATTATTTCGAACTGTCTCTCTTTTTCTTCCGTCTGTCTATCTTTCTCAAATTGTCTCCCTCCCGCCTCTTCAGCAGGGGCAGGTGGACTGCTGGCCTCTGCCATGCCCGCCCGTGGACTGCGAGTTTACCGTGGTGCCTGAGGGCGAGTGCTGTCCCCGCTGTGTCACCGACCCCTGCCAGGCCGACACCATCCGCAACGACATCACCAAGACGTGCACGGACGAGCACAACATCTCACGCTTCAGCGGCTCCTCCTGGATTAAACACGGCACAGAGTGCACCCTGTGCCAGTGCAAGGTAAGGCACCAAGCCCCCCCCGCTGGCAGCCTCGAAACAGCAAATTACAGTTCGGTGTGAGACAAGACACCAAAGAAAAATGGTTTGGAAATTGAGAACCCTCTGTGTTTTGTACACTGTAGTCCAGACTTTGCGTTGGGGAGGCAGTTTGTGCATCTTTGACACCTCATGACTGTATTTACTACACATGGTGGTAAACATGTCTGTATATGTTGATTCAGCTGTCTGTGTGCTGAATCTGATCCGCACACAAAGCGTTTGCAGGTGGAAACACACATCTCACCAAATTTTAAAGAACAGTAACGGAAAAAAGCACAAATAAACAAAGGAGGTTAATGAAATGAGTAACTCTCAATCTATTGTGTAGACCTCATAGTTCCATGTGATAGTGATTGGCTAGAGAGAAAATACAATATTCATACTCCAAGAATGTGCTTTTTTTTTGTTCGAAAGCCCAATAAAGAGCAGCGAGTATAACAAATGAGATGTTTGCTTTCAAAAGTCTGAGTTTGATATTATTAGGGAGCAAGTATTCACTTTCTTTGTCTGCTATATATTAAGCAGCAGCTAGCAGCCAATTAGTTTAGCTTAGCATAAATACTGGACTAGCCTGGCTCTGTCCAACATTGACTCTCTAGCCAATCGTCTAAAGTAGTAAGTGTATTTCCCAACATGTACTACGAACTATTCCTTTAATCAAAATGAACTGAAACCTCGGACAAAGACAGCCCCTTATAACTTGACGTCTGACTCGGCTACAGCACAAACCAGCAATGTGTACAGAGCCTCAGATATTCTATCGAGAAAACTGAGACAAACTCGCATAATTGGTTGGACTAAATCGGGCAGAGAAAGCTTCTCTCCACAAGTTTTTGTTTTCAGACTTGTGGCACAGAACAATCACTGGAAAAATAAACTATGCAGCCGAATATACTCTTCATTAACAATTGTGAGCATAAATTGTTTGCCTCGGCTTCAGGACTAATCCACAAAGACTGACTCCGTTGTCTGAGTTTCTAGGATGGAATATTTTCTCTCTGCCTGCCTGACGATGATGTCTACATCTTTCAAAAATGCTAACAGCCATTAAATATATGCTATCTTTCAAAAAATGTCAAAGACTTGCATTAAATTCAAATATACGAGGGTGGATTTATTATTTTTGGACAGGTACAGTCAGTTTCAGAGCACTCTGATTTGGTCAGTTTGGTGATTTAGCACATACAGTGCTGTGCCTGCAAACCTTTAACGATGAAGGGAGTTTATCTGTCCCCCTAGTTTGAAGCGAAATGACTCTGAGACCGCTCACTTTTCTACTCTCAGTAGAATAACTCTGCCTCGGATCAGTTGGTGCCAAAATGACATCCAGAGGAATCTTAAATGCCAAACTGAATCTGTATGCTGCAGCACCGCCGCCACCTGAAAATATTTACCGTTGAGATCCACAAAGACTTTTGATGTGGTCAAAGTGTGACGATGATCCATTAATATGTTTCTTTGCCTTCTCTCTCCTCTCACTTGCAGAATGGACACATCTGTTGCTCAGTGGACCCCATGTGCCTTTAGTCCCGGAAGATCTGAAGGCACCTGTACAGTGTTCTCCATGTACAAACAAAGTAACACCACCCTTATGTCTCCTCACTGTCCTCACAGGCGTAGGTCAGATAGTGTTTGCATTGTTAGGATTTGATTTAGCCTGCTGAACCAGATGGGTGGGGGTTACGAATCAGTATAATTTATACAATGTCACATTGTCAAATACAGACAATTGTACAAATGTAACCTTCAGGTCCTTTCTGATGATTTCTAGCTCTTATTGTGTGCTCTACATTGTAAACCCCATACCTCAGTTTTTGTGAATACTCTGTGACCCACGTCTGCCCCCTCGACTCCTCTTTATACCAAAAGCAGACCTTTATCATACCAAACAGATGATGGACTACAGTTTCCTCAAACCCACTCTCTTTGTTCTGTCTCTCCACTTTAGAGTGAACCTTTAAGGATCACTGTTCCCCACTCTGCATCATCGCTACATAAATCTGTAAGATATTACTATTACTGGCATGACTGTGCTTGATGTCCAAACATTTTTGCTGATTTCTAAATTCTCAGTGATGATGATACCCTAGATAGAGTAAAAGCAGTTAGCTTAAGCTTCCGTTGCCACATTTATGAGTTGTCTATATTATGTGGTGCTTTGTAGCATTTTGTTCCATTTCTCCTTTTTTGTAATTTTTTTCTTTCCAAGCTTGTTATTGTGTAATAGTGAAATAAAGTATTTCCATTTACATTTAATTCTTGTCTGTGGCTCATGTACGAGTGTGTATTCATTGTGTTTCGAAGACAACATTCGGTTGCCAGTTTATTAGGTACACCTAGCTAAAACAGATGCAGTGTAATATAACAGTCCTGCAATAAATCCTACCTTTATGAAGATTATAATGTTCATGTTTCTATTATTTTGTCCACTTCATTTATATCAATGAGGGATGGCTAAATAACAAGCACCACAAACTACATCCTCCAAAATGATCAAGTTAAATCAATTAATACAGTTTAAGTGTATCAGCACTGGATATATGAATATTTGGTTGTGTGATCTTGAATTCTGTTTTTTATCAGGTTCAGAGTTCTACTTTAAGGCGTGCGTTATAAAGGGTAAGTTCTAAATAATGTCTTATTTTAAAGTTCAATACATAGTTTACGAAACAAATATATTTTGCATGATCAAAGCCAAAGTCTCTGTAAAAGGCAACATAGTTTCAAAGTTCATTATTGACCTTACAAAAGACAATATACAAAGAATTCTTACCTCAAGTCAAGCCCTTGAGATGAGAATATTTTGCCAGCAGCACCATATTAATTTTGTTCATTTATGTTGTATAATACGTGAATTAATTTATTATATATTTGTGTTTCCTTTCAATTTAAAAACAGCACTCCATAGATGTACCGATAGCAGTTCGCTCATTCAATTACAGAGGTGTAATAGTTTGTTGAGAGGATCTTAAATGTTAATAAATATACAATCAGCAGTCCACCTAACATTGTTATGTTCTATTCATCAAGGAGTAAAACTGCAGGGTATGTGTAGCGTTTGTGGCTTGACTCTTTGTACAGTATGTATAAGAAACTAGTCACTGTTTTGGTCACAGTGCTGTACCCGCGGTAATCTCACACTAGATTAATAGTGTTTTGTTTAAATCAATACTGCTGTGATCTTGCCTTCCACCGTAAAACACTAACTTCGGTTCGATTGATTCTGTAAATTAAATAAGTAAAATCAAATTTGTGGCTTTCATAGATCCAATACTAATAGTGTTGTTACAAGATTTTAAATTAGGCCCCTTGTGTTGAATACACCTCAACAAACGCATCTTTGGAGGCAGAGAAAGGACCATTGCATGGATTCCTCTCCTCCCTACTTTGTCCTGTGCCTCTGGAGATGCTAGTAATACTTGTATCGCAGAAGAGCACTTAAAGCTCCTAATATAATTATCTATCAGATCACAGCTGCGGACAAATGAGTTCAGCCTTGAGATGGCTTTATTTCCCCGCGGAGCATCCTCTCCCATACCAACTGATTCTCCGACTCTGCCTTGCAGCTGCTTACATTAACAAACAGGCAACGTAACAGGGCCCGTTTTTATTCAAGCACACTCCCCGCTCAGTTGAACTTTTTCTGCCCACCCCCTTCCCCCCCAAAAAAAACTTTCTACCTCAGGTTATCCTGACTCTAAGCTCATCCCTGAGTTGAATGATAGGGCAGGGGACATGGGCAGTGGGCAGTGGGCAGTGGGCAGTTCGCAGCGGCTGCTCCTAGGTTGGCAAGGGCACCATCTGGCCTGCTTTGGTCCAGTGGCTTCTAGCTGGTGGTGGCATGGAGCCAGTGGGCACCTGAGTAGTGGTGGCACAGCAGGGCACACTGGTCCTCCAGCTGGCTCCTAAATGTCCAATTTTCCATGGCAGTGCTGAACCCCTCTGCAACAGATGCCGGGACCCACAGGGAGTCCACTTCACTGCCTGTCCTATATTCACCGTTAATGACCACACATATCACTGTGATTGTGGCTGGCAAAGAAGGGCAACAGAGAAAAGTCAGTTTTAATTTAGTGGAGAGTTTAAATGCATTTGCATGCGATAGTAGTGTGCTTTATGACAGTTTCTTTCATTATGTTTTCAGAGATCTTCCATTCTTCAAATGGCTCTAATTGGTCTGTAAAATTCACTGTGCCGTTAAAGAGATCTCTGAAAGACGGAGAGAAAAGGATCGTGCAATCTCTTGGCAATCATCACCTATGCAGTAAGTATAGGGAAATGACATGAACAAGTATTTACTTGTAGAATATTTGCCTCATATCACAGTGTAAACTCTGAGCTTTCTGTTTGTTCGTCACAGTTTCCCGAAATGTGCAGGATTGACTTGAATGCACAAACATATAGAGCCTCAGCCAGAACAGTAAGGGAAGTCACTTTGAATCGACCGTGTTTGTCTGCACGAAAGCAAACATGCAGACAAGTACAAATGCTCCACAGTCCCACGGTGCCTATATGGCTTTGTTTTCCAGATTTAACTGTAGCCAAAATAAGCAGGATTCAAAATAAGCACTGGTTCTCTCTGCTTACATTTCTGTAATCTGTAAATTTGGCAAATGTTTTCATTAGTCCTCTCCAAATTAAAAGAACGACAAGTCAAACTGTTCTGCAGCTGGCGCTGTATGCTGATATTACATCTGGAAACTGGGTATTGATGAACAGCATACGTTTCGTCAGCTATGTGACTGATGTGACGGATTGCCATTTAACCCTGATGGGACATTCGTGGTTCCCAGATGATGAATCCTCGTGACTTTGTTGATCCCCTGACTTTTCCCGTAGGGCCACCGCGAGGCTGATATACAGTATGTTTGTTATTCGGTGTGATACCACAACAACTATTTATGGTCCCCTCAGGATGAATTGTAATAACTTGACCCAGTGCCTTTTCATTTAGCACCATCAAGAAAAGAATACCTGCAAAATGAATGACCTTCCCATCAGCCTCAGATGAAATTTGTGTTTAGTGCCAATTACTAACTCTCAAACGGGCAGTATTGTTGCAGTATACTCCGACCCGATCATACTTGGAGAGAGAGAGATTTATTAGAATATAAAATATGATTATTAAGATTATTTATTACTGGAGGAATCTGAAGTTATGAAATTAACCACTGTTAGATTATTTTTACAATGCACATAAAAATGAAAAATACGTGGTTTCCTGAGGGAGACTGAGATACAGATCAAAAGGGAGTGAGTTAGCCTTGTGTTGTATTATTATATTATATTGTTGTATTATGATATTTCAAACTACATTTTGTTTTTTTTCCCTTCATTGTCCAAATTATTTCACCTCGCTGAAATGTGTTTGTTTTGTTGTGTTATTTCAGAGTCCTACATCGAGGTTTCCAAAGTAAAGAATGAACTTAAATGCTCACAAAAAACTGTTGAATACTATTGGATATCTTTCGCAATTGCACAGCATATGTCTGTTAGATTTTGGGAGTCCTAGACATTTTATGAGTCTGACACCCTCTCTTTTATTGTGTGGCTTGTGGGGTAGCCCATTCCAACGGTATGACACAAAAAAACTCCAGTTCAAAAGAAATAAATACAGGATTTAACAGCAAAAGTAGCTGGATTCTTCAACGGTGGATTCTATCACTGGCTGCTACAAAGTATTTCAGCACTGCAACAGTCATCACTATATTCTCCACTTGATTTGACTGAAGAACAATTAGAATAAAACCAAATCCCCTTTCCCTCATAGAAGAATATTAAGGCAGACATCATTATCACAAACCCGTGTCGGGGGATTCAGTCCTCCAAGTGAGTTGTTGGATATGTTGAGAAATATATCCGAGCAACGCGTTCCTCTGTAAGTTATCAGAAACCTGCAGAAGAAATTAGAGAGGAATTCTGTTTCCCTTGCGGCCACTGGAGACAGAAACCATCTTGGGCTCAGTGAAAGGACTGAGGGGGAAACCTGCTAGCTGGCTGGGACTGACTGCACTGATACATTTCACAGGGTCTCCCAGAGTCACGGAGCTGTCAGCACAGAGTGATGGGCCATGCCAGGACATGATGCACTGATCTAATTGGAGGATAGCTCAAAGACAGTAGAGGAGATTGCAGTTGATCTGTAGCTGTGGCTCGCCTCCTCTGGGGGACTTTTCCGGTTTATATTTAGCTGTAGAGCAGTTGAATTTTTCAAACCTAGTTCTTGTGTCTTTTTTTTTGATTTGGTCCTAGAAGACATGTCAACAGAGCAACAACTTGTAAATAATGTGAAATGTTTCAAAAATGCCTCCAGAAAGACCTGAAAAAAAAGAAGCTTATTGTGATTAAAAGCCAAATGCAGTCAATCACCAATGCTCCCGACAAGTAAATGCATTCACTGCATTGAGGAGGAAGTCAATTCGCTGTTAACACAACATGGGCATAAGGCCTCAACACCCCACAAACATGTTTGAAAATCGTTTCTGATGTGTTCTCTCAATTATTGCATGCTCCTCCAAAAATCAATATCTCATCCCTCAGCCCAACGGAAGACTTGGAAGAGGCCTCAGTCAAACAGTAAATACTATCCGACAATGAAATATATTTTCCCAGAAAAACAACTGCACTTCAGAGGATACGTTTACTGATGATGACCCGCTGCAGAGCACAGTGGTGCTTTAAGCTAAATGCTAACTACAGCATGCTAATGTGTCACATTGTCAAGGCTAACATGCTTTAGCTTAGCAGGTTTGATGTTTTCCAACACATAGTTTTGCATGTTAGTTTGCTATAACTTGCTAATTAGCACTGAATACAAAGTACAACTGAGGCTCGTTAGCATCGTTGGATGGTTGGGCCTGGGTGGGATTGTGCAAGTTTCACCCATGAAGCATGGGAATACACAACTATCTTTTTCTTGTGGAGCATAAAGGGACTACACCTACATTTCGTTGTGCAACCCCTTGCATTTGAAATTGACAGTGGTTAAGCTAACTAATTTATGTAAAGGCAGTCCACAAACTTCCAAATAGCAAAACAAAGCTCAATGATTTTTTTATGCCTCATGCAAAATTACAAATATAAATCTCAAGGTGGCGCTGGAGTAAAAGTCAGGGGATCAACAACAACATTAAGATTCGTCCTTTCGGTAATGTGAATATCTTTACGAAATAATAATATTCGTTGGAATACTAACCGTCAGACGGACTATTCTATGCTCAGAGGCATGCTTTTAGCGTGGCTAACATCGTAAAATATTTGAAGTACCTTAGAAATAACAACAATAATAGTAATTTCTGTAGCAGAACGTTTTTTCTTCCTAATGTTTTATCTTATTAATTATCTCACAGCGCCTTAGATTCTTTCAACAACGCCTTGGAGAGTTCCCAACCCTGGTTTGAGAGCCACTGCCTTAAACTAATTCTGTTCACTTTTCCTCCCTCAGACACTTTCAATCTGATCTATAACTCATTTACACGAATACATGTCCTGTAAGCGAATCCTGTCAGAGAAAGAAAAGACACATAACAAATTCAAATTGTTTCCCCCTGGCGTGAATCAAACGGCAGACAGGCCCAGAGCAGGGCTCACACTAATCTGAGCCTGGTGTCATGTGTACGCCGGCGACATATTCAAGTGTCCTTGTGAAGACAGTATCATTATTTCTCATATCGCCCGTATTAATTGGGTCAGCAGCTGCAAGAAGCTTGACCTGTTCTTTTCAAAGCATAGAGAAACATTTTAAACTTTAGAACTTTTCTCGCTAAACAGATCAGCAACTCACTCTGATATCTGCTGAATCTCACAAAGTGGTCAGAAGAAAATAGAGATAACAAATGTCTTGATTTATTGGTAACACAAGGTTCAACAGACATACAGCACACTGAGCAAACACCGAAAGAACAAACACACTTAAGGAACTGAAGGAAGTGTCCGTTTTGCAACGCAATTCAATGAAAACAGAATGAACAACAAAAGAGGAAACCCTCACTTTTAACCTGAACACATTACATCACAAACAGATTAGACCCTCCTCAAGTCCAGAGATGTTCTGCCCTTTGGTGAGACACTGAAATTTAACGTCCTCATAGAGCTGTAATGTATAAAAGGAAAATGACTGAAACAATTATGCTAAATAAATTGACCTGTTCACAGAATGGCCTTTGTCAAAGACAAGTGTAGCGGTACATCTATGCACGTCGCCAGCCTCCAGTGCACACACGCACACATTCACACACTCAACATGCACTATTAAATATAAAACATCCTTTACAGACACAAACAGACACCTCTGCTTTCACAATGTACACACGCACACACACACACACACACACACACACACATACACATACACACACGGGGAGTCCGGAGTGTACCACCAGAATAATTATGAAGTTTTACAGCTTTGTATGTATAAAATCAAGTAATAAATGAATGCATAAAAACTATCTATTAATAATAAATGAATTAGAGGAACATTTAAATGGTGTATTAATAAACTACTCAAAAACATGTGAGCAGAGTACCACCTAAAAATTAAACAGAATCCAAACCCACAGCAGCAGCAGCAGCAGCAGACGGAGCTCTGTCTAGCTTGGGATTCAACTTGAAGACGTGTTCACACATCTTTAAGCTCTAAAGAGAAATATTCAATTCAAATGCAATTCTGAAATGAAAACTTGAAATGTTAAAGCAGCAGGCGGATTGTGAGAAACATTATGATAGACCGGAATATGAGTAAATGGAATATAAAAAAATACATTTTTTTTTAAAATACATTTTGTGATTACATAATTAAATGTATAATTTAAAGACAGAATTAAAAAAAACATTAACTGGCAAATGTTGATGATCTTTTAATCACTATCATTTTACTTTAGTATATAAATATATAGATGCCAGCAAATTGAATGAAATGATTTGAAATTGCCTTCTCGTCAAATGTATTCATTGATTATAATTGAACACTGCAGAAGTCTGTAAATATTCTGGTGGCACCCCCCCCCGGCTACATGTACTTATAACAATGTTGAACAAACTCACAGTTAGGTTGTTATGGAGCAAAAGATGTGCTTATTTTTGATACTTTTTGGGGGAAATCATTTTCCAGGAAATTATAGTACATTACAGTCCATTATAATGCAGAGTGATGCAAGAACACTTAATATCATTCCACTCTGTCGTTCATGAATATATCTCTTTTAAATTTGCATAACATCTTATGCAGCAATACTTATTCAAAAAAACTGTAATATTTGGTATCGTTGGTCCAATTTCTATGCAAAGTACTTCATTAAATGTGCCGAACTTTTACAAAGCAGTATAGTTAGTAATAATAGTAGTAGTAATAATTGAGTTAGTATTTTGCACTTCACAGCAACTTCACAAAGAGCATTCTGTTTTGGACCTAAAGTTCCAAATACTGTTTATGTATTTTAAAGAGACTTTGGCAGTGAACACTTTCAAAGCCAGTGTAAAGATAAATGCTGCAGGTTTCAGTTGCATTTAAACATCAGGGATTTTTTTTTTTTACACGAGGAAAATGCTTCAAATAAATAATTTTTCATGCATTCACCAGGACTGCGAAACTATTTCTAAGACTTTTAAGGTTTATCTAGACATAAAGAAGCCCTGAGCTTTGGAGCAGAAGCCTCCCTTTGCACTTCAATGGCATGTTTATACCAAGGGCAAAAACCACCTTTCTGACTCTGTTGGTATGCAGTCCAGGTGCAGCAGCCACATAAGCAATGATGAGGTGGCTTATTGGTTAACTATTTGATCTTAGCTGATTGCATTTATTATCTCTGCAACTAATATCAAAGCGATGGCCTACGAATAAGTCATCAACGCACAATGATGTCATTTCAACAAGAAGTGAGAGTAAGAGTGACGTCACACGAGAATAAATTAAAATGATAAAGTCTTAGGATCAAATGAAGTAACAATTGTCTGTATGCCATGAAAGCAAATATAAGACATTGCTATAGTAGACTGGAACTAGGACATCTTCCATTTTGTTGGTTATAGTATTATATACTGAATGTTTCGATCTGTATCTGAAGATATTACATATCAAGGCACTAGTGTAGCAGTGATACAATAAAATCCACTTGTCAAGACTGTAGAAATACTCCTCTCATATAGGCACCAAATAGTTTCCCGTGACAAAATTGAATTATGAAAATGCAAAATCCGAGTGAGCACCGTGTCAATTAAAAGTTTGCATTCTGTTTTAAAAGAGGTTTGTTATAAGAATTGGTGCCGTTTTAGAGGCTTTTTAAAAAGAGTGGTTTTTTTCAAAAATATATTCAAACAAATGCAACTGCAATCATCACTTTGTCTCTCTCCTGAATCTCACCAACAGTTACGGTCAACTTCTCTCGCAGCTTCGTCTTTATCCGAAGAAAAGCGACGCTGTAAGATCTTGAGCTCTCCTTTTCAACCTGCCCACAGTTATGTAGTTCAAAGTTTCAGGAGCTCACGAGGTCACGGAGAGAGCTTATGGACATCAAAGGAGACGGCTGGTTCCTCCTGCTCTGCGCTGTCAATCACGATGCTCGGGTGCGTCTCTTGGGTCTCCATGGAAATAGTCGAGTGCGTGGAGGGCGTCGCTCCGAAGTGCGGCCCGTCCACCGAGAGAAGCATGGGCGTTCCCGCTCGTTTCAGACTGTCGCTCATGGTCATGTGCACCTCCTCCGGCGTCACACCCATCTCCTTGCTGTACTCCGACGGCGACTTCCTCTTTATCCTCTCGTACGTCTTGTCTTGGTTTTCCGGGAATGTCTCGCTGTCCTGAAATCGCCCGAACAACCAAACGAAGAACCCGAAGAGGACGAACGCCGCCAGGCTCGGGACGAAGGCCAGGGACTTGACGTAGAGGCTGGCCCCGGTGTAGCGGCTGTGAAGGAACATGTCCCGCTCCACGTAGGTTAGGTTGCTGTCCGGGTTGATGTTGGTGGAGCGCCACTCATAAGTGAGAGTGCTGCGGTTGAAGAGGATGAGCGTTTCCGGCTCCTCCACTGTAAAGATCTTCTCCCCGGGCCCGACATACTGACCGTACTCGTAGGGCTGGTAGAAGATCTGGTTCTTCCACATGTTAAGGTCCAAAATCAGCACAAGGAAGATGATCCCGTAGTTGAACCACTTGCCTGTAACGAGACACGACACTTCTGTTAGATTACAAACAAGGCTATCTTTGACAGCGAAGCAAAGAATAAACAAACATGCACGGTACAGATAATTTCACAGACAGGCAGATTGATGTACAGCACAAGCCTACTCCAAACAAGATCCAGAGAGCAGAGTCAGACAGATAGATACGCTGTCACCTTCGTTTATCATGAATCCCTCTCCCTTTGCATAGAGCTCACGCATTAAGGCAGATCCATTTGTAGGTGCTACTGCCTCAACAGTATCTTCTAACGAGATCACTACATTACCATGAGACAGCCATCTACCCAGGTTGACTGATAGCAGGCAGATGTCTCCCCGGGCATACGTGACACCTTTCCCTTCCTTTCCCCTGAGATATGCTGTTAATAAGCTTTTAGTTAAACCAATCACGTCGCACCGGAGCAATTTCCATAATGCTTAATGGATATGCAATGCATTAGGGTTAACAACCTTTCGCGAATCACTGAGCGTTTTGACAGCTTAACATTTAGCACGGGAACATTGGTTTTGCCTTCTCTTTATGGTTGTGAGTCTGCGTGTGCATGCAGCGGAACAAAATGGAGAAACCGGGAGGACGGTTCCGAATGGGAAATACACTCGCTCTCCGAGAACATTAAGACACGGAGATGAGAGATGAGTCTCGCAGGGCGGGGAGGAACACGAGGAACAGGAAAAAACGCAGTTGCAGCGGCGGAGCCACCTGTGTGCCACATCAGCTACACATTATTGTAAATGGTTGCTGTGGTTTAACCATCAAACTGTTTCCCCTACGGAGGAAAAGGGAAAAGTAGAGCAGGGAAAGCATTTTTTGGTTCTCACAAAACATTTGAGAAATAGGCCAAAGTATGAGTATGTCTCGCTTTTGGACCATTTGATTTCTTTTTACTTTACTTTGTCTATGAAAATGTGTGTTAGTTGACTTTAAGTTAAAAACTAACTAGTAATGCTAAAGATACTTGAATGAAACAATGAGATGACGCCGTTGTTTGTATGCAGCAGGCCGTGCACGTGTCCGCCCGTACCTGTGATATGAATGTGGTACTCCTCTTTAAAGATGCTCTTGCAGACAGGAAGCTTGACTTTGACATGCGTTGTTGACATTCCTGGTAAATTCATATCCAGGTCACCCATGAAGTGAGGGAACTCCCAGTCCTGAAACAAACACACACACACACAGCCTGGCATATAAGCTTATCTTACGACTGTGCTCATGTAGCCTCAGTTTCAGATTTAAATAACCACATTGGCTTGACAAATGTCAGCCATGTATCGTGCTTTATTGGGTGTTGAACACTGAACTTTCTCATATTAGCTGATATTACTTTGTGTTTACAGGTTTGTGTAATGTACTAATGTGCACTGGGATTTGAACTTGTCAAAACACATCAAGAGGTCAACCAAACTGACACGTAGAGGCTGCCCATGCCCTGTGGTGTCACGTGGCTCTTTGTGCTAGTATGTGGTTATATGTGGTGGCAGTCACTACTCTTGATAAGGTATCCAAAAAAAAGAAAGAAATTAAAATCACATGAAAGGTTTTTTTTTTTTTTACAGATGGCAAGAAAATTTAGAGAGCATATCTTTCTCAAAATGTGGGTCCTGTGAAAACTATGTATTTCCTAAACAATAATGTCAATAACTTTTTCAATGAATAGAGGAACAGTTCATATGAAAAATCACCAAATTTGAATATATGTGTTTTTCACTGGACAGTGATGAAATGTAGAAACGTGTGCTTCACTTAGTGTGTGTTAAGCAAATGAAAAATGTACCATCTTACATTCTTTCCCAAAATACTGCCTTGCAAGTCCTCTGGGGCCTGTAAATGACTCTGTACCATCTGATGTTGGAAATAGTTCCTTCAATTAAAAAAAGTTTATTATTGAAAATAAATGCCATAATTGTATTACGATAGGCTTTATTTTATAGTGACTAATCTGCTACTGTTAAAAGTGCAATACATATATTTTTTATATATACTCTTAAAATCTCAGAGTATAACTGTATTTAGTGACTTTGCATTATGAAAATGTGTTATTAAAATGGCACAGATGAAACTAATAAAAAATAAAATAAAATCACACAAAGACTGATGGCAAAGAAAATTAAAATGTTTAAAAACGTTTCTTTCTACTGAGCTGACTTAATCATCTTGCAAATGAGCTTTTATCGTCTATTACAAGAAAAAAACACATGGTAAACGTAATTTCAACATTTTTCTTTTCTGATTAGCTCCATTTCCCCTCGGTTCCCGTTATTTGCACGGAGCTTGCTGCATCACACTACCGCACGTCTACATTCGCTGTATCCTCGTGTGATCTGGAGTCTCCTGTGCCACTATCTGTGAGCAGCATAACAGCTTGGTGATGGCCCCCTGGATATTAATTAAGTCCTCCACTCCTCTTCCATATCTGCAGTATCTGTTGCTATAGCACTAACAGGCATGGCATTTAAGCCATGCACCTCCCTCCCACCAAATAATGAGTCTCTGCTAAAACATTTAGGAAGAGTATACTGGCAGTGTGTATTGGCATATCATCCACAAATGTAAATGTATATTCATATGCAAAGGACGTAGAAATCTGACATTCAGCTGGGAAATGCAGAAAAAACAGTTCATACACAAAACTGTCGAAATAGTAAAACCCAGCTTGGAGGCATATCCAGACAGGTCATTAATTGGAGTATTAATTAGTTTGAGAACAACAACAAGCATCTTTTCTCATGGAGGTGAGAGATTAACTATGGCACCCCTGTGCTCTGAGATGGAGGCGAATGAAGCTGTAGGGAGGGCTAAATTTACGGATGAATTTTTATCGACTGGTGGAACGTAGCGACGGCAGACCAGCGCATGTGCCGCGTAGCAGCGCAGGCTAACTTGACTCATAAATAACTGTAGTAGAAGTGCTTGCTGTACACTGTGCAGAAAATGAGAAGGGCCCGTCGTAAACAAATCCATGCGAGTGGAGAGCGATATACCGCCAAGTCAGAGGGAGAGGGAGTCGCCGGACCAGATGTCTCGGGGAGTCAAGCGGAGATGTCAAAATAGGGAACGTGTTCGTCACGTCACATCAGATCAGTGGCTTTTTCAGAAGGCTGGGAAAGCTGGCCTCAGCAAGACACCAGCATTTCTGTGAGGAAACGCTTGCATACTGTAGACTGAGCCGTTTCTCTGTATCTGCATAATCACAATCATTGGGTGAATGAATGAGAAAAACACCACAGTGTGAAGTAATTACTGGCCGGAGCAGCCAGAAACCCTCCTCAAAACAGTGAATTGTTTCAATAAATAAGTCTAGAAATCACTTTTAGTTCCAACTCCAGTTCTAATACGCATTACCATGGTAATTACAGTGGTGTCCTTGCCAGGTTTCTGTGGAGCGGTGTATTTGTAACACTGGAAGATGTTCTCCCATGCAGCCTCTTGGTAATAAGCATAATCCACAGAGTAGACACGTATATTTAGGAGATACCAAATATTAGTCTTGCAGCGTGTCCTCTAATACCCACCAACAAGGCCTCGTGAAATACGTTCATTAAGTATTTGGAGAGGCCGTGTTGAATTAGGCTCACAGTCAAGCCACATACTGGCTCCTGGCTAGAGGCGTTAAGAAAAATAAAATAAAAATAAGGCCTTCTCTCACTCTCTTTCTCTTCAATACAGATATGTGTTTTTTTTCCCCCCAGACAAACACATTTGCTTATTCATGAGCCACTGACACAGGCTTTATTGATGTACACTCCTGTGGGAGAGAGGACATCGGGTTGGGAACAAAAAAAGGGTGGAAAGAGAAAGTGAGGAAAAAGTCCAATCTTGTGAGTCATCATTAAAGAAAATAAACTTGGCTCACAGGGGAGTCGGGGAGGAAAGGGTGAGTTCATGGCTGAGTCCTGGGAAAGAGGGATGGAGGGACTTAAAGAGAGGAGATGTAAAAGAGTAAACAAGAGTTTGTGTTTATCTATGTATTTGTGGGTGTATGTATATGTGTGTGTGTGTGTGCATGCTTTTGTATCCATGCCAACTGAGAGTGATCAAACACCCCTCTCGCTGCTCTGTGCCGCAGTGCCCCATTGATGAATAGGAGGGGAGGGAGGGAGGGAGGGAGGGGGGAGGGACAGGAACTGGCAAGATGGGTAGCGAAGTAAGCCAAGAAACCTCCCAGCTCCCTTTTTTTAATTGGCCTCAGGGGAGCGGTCTACCTGCATGACAATGAGAAGGTCGAAGACCAAGACGAAGGAGGCCAGAAAGGCCCTGGAGACCTCGTCGCTGGGCAGGAAGCCTCGGTTCAGGTGGTCCCAGCTGATCCAGTCAGTACTGATGACCAGAACCACTACCGACGTCAGAGAGAAGAGCACTGTCCTGCAAGGAGAGGAGAGGAAGAAGGGAAGGACGAGAGGAGGAGAGGAGAGGAGAGGAAAAAAGGAAAAAAAAGATAGGAGAGAAGAGGGTAAGGAAAAGAGGAAAAGGAGGAAGAGGAGAGGATGTAAGAAGAGAAGAGAAAGGAAGGAAAGGAAAAGAGATGAGACGAAAGGAAAGAAGAAAAAGTAAGCACAGAGATGAGAGGAAAAGAGAAGAGTAGAAGGAGGGAACGAAGGTAAAGGAAACAGAGGAGAGGCAATGGGAAAAGACAAGAGGATGGGAGAGGGAGTAAAAAGGAGGGAAGCAGAGGAGAGTGGATGAGTGAAGGGAAGGAAAGAAAGGGGGAGAGAGGCGAAGACACAAAAGAAAAAAGAAAGAGGAAAGATAAATCAGTGAATGACGCACATTAAAAAGACCTTGAAAAACATTTAAATATAACTTCAAAATTTCAAACTACGTGATGTGATCAGTTAATATTGTATATCTTGGAAGACAAACAGCTCCACTTCCTCACCCACGTCAAACACAAGAAAAGATAAATCAGATGAATTCAGTTTCTCTTTTCGTGGACTCAATAATGTATTGAACAACAATTTTACCTGGATTTGAAAAATGGCAGCAGATAAAGCTCCCAGGAAGATGAATGTGCAAAAAAGAAAACGTTGTCTGTTTGTGGATGCAGAGACAATGCAATTCAAAACCCTTCTGCATACATATTTCCATGTATTTCCATATTTAACATTGAGCCGAACTATTTCATTCACCTGCATGCAGCAATTGCTGTGTTCTTTTTTCTGTAATCCTTCACACTCTCCGAATTGTGTTTATGTCACATTGCTGTAATTCTGCATTAACTGTTTACTGGGAAATGTCTCCGCCATCGGAGGAGAGGCACATCGAGAAGGGCTAGTATTATCCTCCTCTGTGCATTGTGTCTCAATGTCACCCAGTGATTGCTGTGCGGTTGTGTGCATTCTCCCGCCACACATCGGCTGGCTGCATTGCAGAGAGCGAATGCCAGCTCATATCCCATTTCAGCTGTGAGGGAGATGCATTTTTAGGGTTGTATTATTCCACAGTGAGATTCTTTTCCTCGGCTATAGGCCCATTTTTTTGGCACCGTCTTTTACAATTTGCCACGACCCTTCAGCGCATATCGACAAGATGTATCCAGCAACGCATTTTATCAATCATATTTTCAGCTCTGAATTTCAAACGAAAGCTCATCAAATCCGGCATTGATTGGGAACAGTGTGAGTCGGGGCATCCGTCGATAAAATCAAGGGCTGCGGAAAAAATGTCCGAACAATTCGACTGCTTGCATTCTAATCGCAGGTGAATCAATTCTGCGAAAAGGAAATGTTAAACACCGCAGGCAAACGTCTATTGTGCCGACCTCTCTGTGTACATATCAAACTGTTTCAACCGTATCCTCTTCCCCATGTCCCTTCATTTCTCGCCATGACCCTAACGTGAACCACCGGAGAGGAATTCGTCTGTCGCGTTTTGACTGACAGCACTGAGCCACTTCGGTGAATGAACACCGCCGGGACCGCGCACTGGTGGTGTAATACATCAAAACAGGGAGCGCTTTACTCGGTCGTCTAGTAATGGCCGCATCGGACATGGTTTGCGGCATTTGTTTAGCAGTTATTTAAGGGTCACAGCTTGTGGTAGAAGAAGGAAAAGACAAGGCTATGGTTTGCCCCGTGACCTTGCTGTGTCCATTGATTTTCACCCTGTTCTCCTAATTAAAGGTGCTGACACTGAGTGAGAGAAGATTAACACGGCTATTGACTGCGTGTAACCCTGCAACGGGCTGGAGCGACCACACGTGCGGACACACAAACACACACTACACAGCCTTCTAGGAATACATAATGCATTTTAGTAAGTAAGTAGGTAGAGAAATTGATATGAAATCTTATGTGCATGCAGACAAAGATACACATGGTGTTTTACGATTGACCACGGCCAAATTCATGATTTGGTGTTACCGTTTCAAATTTGAATTGTTATTAAAACCATTTTGACTAATGTATTAGGTAGAAGTCTGCTCCTCTGTGGAATAGTGATTCTCTCCTGTTGGTAGCTGTCAGCGTAGTAGTGCAGCGTGTTTACAGTTTAGGCTATTTGTTGGTGAACAACTCCTCAAGACCCGAGCCAAGTTTGTCCCATTTCTCTTTCTAATATGTGTTGTATTTTCATACGGTTTGATCTCTAATGGTCTCACGGAGTTTATCAACGTACCAGAAGAGAAAGATCCTGTTGTTGCCTTGCTTCCAGAACCTTCTGGCTGCTTTGCCCCAGTCTGGGTAGTGCTGATCCTGGAGCATCATATCTGTCACCTGCAGAAAGGGAAAGATGTACTGAATTACTTATGAAGAATGGATGTAGAGGACGTTATGCCAGTTTAGCTTAGCTTTCCATAAAGACAGAAAACGGAGGCAAACTGCAAGCCTGGCTGTGTCTAAAGGTAATATTCCATATATAAAGAACACTAATTAACATATTGTTCCTAATCAGTGCAAAAACTGAATTGCAAAAACCCAAGTTCAGTTCAGTTGTGGCTTTACAAATGGGGTTAATGCTGCACTATTTCCTACTTCCTACTTCCTTCCTGGAAGTTACTTTAATCCATCTTTTGGTCACCAAATGAACAATTCCAAATGACCCAGGTTATTTACACACACAAGACAAGTGATTATATGCTATTTATGTTCAACTATTAATTAATTGATACTGAATAACACTTTATCTGTGATTAAACCCTAATGAGTCTGTAATAACCTTCAATAAATATTGACTTGTTTAATTATTATTAATGTTGAGGTTGTACCTGTCTTTCCACTGCCTATAACAGTTGGTGATAATGTTTTCACACGATTCATCTTAATGTCATCACTAATAATAAATAGTAGATTTTCCTAAGTGGATACAGAGTTGTATCAGGGAGCGCGTTATACACGAGTATAATAATTGCCCCTGTGTATTCTTTGAGCCGAGCCACTGCTGCAGGAGCAAGGTCAGTCTGTCAATAAAGCGCCTCGCTGCAGTTACTGTAGCTCTTGTTGAAAAAGGGATTTGAATCAGGCAGCGTGTTCGAGATGTTTCTGCCGTTGCAGCATTGTGGAAAAACAGACACTTCCTGTTCGCTCATCTCGTGAAGACACTGTAAATCTGCAAGGCGAGGGAGACACAGAGGTCATCTTCAAAGTGCCTTGTTGAATTAATCGAATGTAAAAAACCTTGTGGGTAATTTCTGGAATCAGCACTTTGACTTGGCCCAACTTTTTCTCTCTCTCTCTCTCTCTCACACACACACACACACACACACACACACACACACACACACACACACACACACACACACACACACACACACTCTCTCTGTCTCCCTGATTCACCTTCTCACTTGCTGCTTCCCCTGTCTCCCTTCTGACCAGACTTCTACATTTCCCTTTCCCCTTCACCTCTGTTTCTTACTCCTCCCCCTCTCTCCTTCCACCCGCTCTCTTTCTCTGCAGTATGTACTCTAGAATACTAATGTGACCGGTGAGGGAGCTTGTCAAGTTGTCTCAGCTGTGTGCATGTCGGTGCCAGAGCCCCACTCCTCCCACCACAGGTAGTCCACTCCCGCTGGAGCTCTCCTCCTCTCTTTATGTTGACAAATGAACAGAGGTAGGTTTCTCCTCCAACACACTCTGTACCTCCCTGTGCATTCATTGTTTCCTCCGACCCATCTTAGATCAAACTGCATGTTACTCTGAGGATTTGGTAGCAGATTGGACTGGATCGGCACAGGGAGCTTGTAAGGGTGTGTCTTACGATGGTAGAGAGAATACACCTGACCTAGTATTTAGAGGAGTGTGTGAAGAATGGCTAAACCATGTATCTTCCATATGATTTTAATATATTTCTTAAATTAACTGTGGATGAAAAAAACATTTAAGTTCAACCTGAGCTGACAGAGGACTGTCATTGTTGCTAATTAGCTAATCTAATAGGGTATATCCATCGTACTCCAATCTATCCTCTCAGACTTGGCTCAGAGTGTGGCTGCAGAGTTGGTTGTGTGAGGATTAAATTCCGTGCATGGACAGTACAGCAGTATTCAATTCGGGTTTAATTACCTCAAAAAACAGGCTTTGGCTGATGTGAGGCATCCATGTTTGTTTGCTTTTTCGGGCACTTCCATGAGCACCAAATCGAAAAGATTAGAGCAGTTGGAAAAATATGATAATCACGGTTGTGATTTGGATGTTTTTTACTTAAACATTTATTTACAAGTCAGAAAATGGTAATTATGGTAAATCTAATAAGACATGTACATGGCACAAGACATCCTTCATCAGTCACTGCTGTGCTTTGAAGCTAAATGCTAAAAAAACGTCAGATGTTACCGGATGTTAACATGCAGACGTTTTGCATAACACTTTGGTGAGTATCATACCTTAATACTTTTTCGGACCGGCAGACATTTGTCAATATCAACAACTGAAAAAAACTATTACATTTGAGAACTTCACCTTGCATTCAATGAAAACACACGGTTATATTTAAGGGGTAGGAGCATATAAATATATACTTCTTCCTACTCCTTTTTGGACATGTAATATATATTGACTGTATATTAAGAATTTGCTCTATACTTTTACTGTGCATTTTATTGTTTATTCTTGTTCTCGTTTTGTTATTCATTACATTGAATAAAAACAATCTATCTTATCTATCTAAGATTTATTATATGTATGGGTATGGAAAATAGTCGTTTTCATAAAAGTATCAAAAATTGTGTAGCATGTTGATGTAGCATACTAACGTTTTGCAATTTAGCATCTTCAACATGAGCTTTTATCTCAAAAACAGCTGCAAGACTTTGACTATTGAGAAATTGGAAATGTTGCCCTGTTGGAACTTGATGAATCACCAAAACATTAAGATTCATCATCTGGGAACCATGAATATTTGCACATTACCAAACCATGCTGCTAGCGTGGCGCTAAAAAGATAATTTTTGTATCAGTGCTTTTAATAATGCAGGATTAAAATTCTAAATTGAATATTTCCTTTCATAAGTGCAAACTTCTCTAATGTCTTTAGAACCTCACCATCCAGGCAGTGACAAAGTCTCCCATCCACGTCCCCACCGCAGCAATCTTCATGAAGCTCTCATTCCGGATGCCCATGTAGTCCGTCACCATGTGAGGCCTGTGAGGAAAGAAGAGCAAGAGTGAAAGGGACATAAAAAATGAAGTAAATGTTATGAGGGTAGTAAAAGGAGGCAGACACGGAAGGGGGCAACAAGACTCACAAAAAAACGAGCCAATAGAGGGAGAGTCAGTGCAGGACGAAGAGAAAACAGTCACTGGCGCTAAGTATCATGATACTAGCTGTCAGAGTAAATCAATATCAATCTGATCCTGTGAAAACAATGAGCGATGGCTCTACCTTCCATAAAGCCCTGAGGATTGTAAACAATTTAGACTAGCGCCATGGAGTTTATGCACTAGCACCGCTTTCATTTGGTCCTGTAGTGTTTGGCAAATTTGTCTCATGTCTAGTCGATTTCAAATCAACATTGCCCCCCCCCTCCCCTCCCCTATTAATGCACTAGATCTGACTGAGCTCAGTTAACATCAACTGCAGCAGCACAGAAGCAAAACATAGACTAGGTCAAGACGTGCCATTAGTGAGACAATCTCACATGGAATAGTATCTGATGAGAAATGGCATGCTTTCTTTTGGAGTCCTAGTTATCCCTTCATCTCTGTACAGTAAGTGAAGACGAGAAAGCTTTTGTTCAGCCCCACAAACTCACCCACACAACACACTCACACACACCACATCACTCTGTTTTCTCCAGGTAATGGCGCAGGGAGGGAGGAAAAGTGGGTCAGTCGCCTCCTATATGGGACCCGTGCCGGGGAGAGAGGGGGAGAACAGAGCGCTGTTTGATCTCCTGGCAGCAAGTGTCTTAGAAGCTGAGTTGAACAGGTGGGGCACCCATCACCTCCTCCCCTCAAGCCCCATCACACTCCCCACAGGTCATAATCATGAATATAATAGACGGCGATGGATAGGGCTCTGGCTGTGCTTTCAAGGGGTCGTATTTGAAGTCAATGGCTCCATTCGTCTTTGTTTCCCCCCGGTCATTTTCTGGCCGCCAGCAGACACCGATAAAATTGTTTTCTATTGCACAAAGAGGCTCTGGAAAATCTCCCCTACAACCTGCTCGTGTACATTTCATTTCCTCTCTCTATAAATGCTTCATTTTCTTTTCCTTTAGCTGATTGCATTATGAGTTCCACGCGGCGTGCTATTCACCTTGTAAATGAGTCGTTGTCAGACAAGTCTAAACAATCTCTTGAGAAGCAATGGAGGGCAATCCTTTTAAGTTATTAGCTAATGTAGCAGCTTTAATAGGTGTTCATTTCGAATTAATGTTAATTGCTCGTGCCTTTTTCACATTATGTATGAGTCTAGACCTGAGAAGCATAATAAATGCTCATAGGCAACACAAAACGATGATGACTGATTGTGGCAAACCAGTGACCCAAAATGTCAACTACGCGTTGACTGCAATTGTGTGCAAAATACTCTTCCTTGGAAGGAAACATTATAAATCATATGTTGTCAAGGCAGCATGCATTTAACAGATTTGACAGGATTTTATTGACGAAAACGTGCAGTACTGCGGGTGACGTATTGCCTCGCTCAAGCCCGCAAATAAAACAGCCTTGATTGGAATGGCGATTTATATCTGCATTAAGTCAGTTAGACATTCAGCAGCTTGGCACTGCTCCAGTTACCAAGGAGAACCCATTGGGAGTCATTTAGCCACAGCGAAATACTGATCGATACTTCTGGAAATGCTGTCTGGCACCACATGCGAGGCTTTAAATCTAAAAAAGAAACTACCCCACCGCCAACCCCCCTGCCCTTCTCACATATTTAATTGAGCAAATGTTACCCCTGTGCTGAAAGAGATGGTTTTATTTTTTTGCAGAGCACCTATGATGAGTTTGGGGAGTCTTCGCACTGCATGATCAGAGGCAGAACTCTCTGACTTATTCATGCTGACTGAAAATGTAATGGCCTTTAGAGCCGAATGACCTAATGAGAGAATTCAGTGTAGTGGAACATCAGTACAGTAGCACCATGAATAATCAGCCCCAAAATGGCCCCCGTGGCCTAATCGCAGAGCCAGTGGCAGTGCCAGCACGGCCGGCTCAGCCAGCTCTGACCCCCTGTGGAATGTTATCAGGTCTCCCACACTTCTTCGGGCAAAATACTCAAGGACATTTCAACGCCTTTCAAAAGTCTTGTTCCATCACGTGCAAGAAATTGCAATTTTGCGCTACAGAGGGTACGGAGTTATGGAGTTATGAGTTTGGACATTACCCCTGTGTGACATTAACATGAAAAAGGCCATTTAAAAGTGGTCATCTGCAGGATCATTGCGTTTTTATTTTTGCTTTAATTATCTCAAGTGCTTAGAAATCATTGTCATGGTTATGAGATTGCTTGGTTAGAAATTGTGGATAGTACTGCAATGTCTCTTTCTTTGTGCTGTACATTACTTTGACTAGTGCTAGTACTAGCGTTCGGAAGCTTGCAGCTTTCTCGAGAACCACATATGCAAACCCCAAGAGCAAAACACCTCCCATGTTGTAGGTTGCAATGCTCTCCATTTGGGTACAAAAGCTCACACAAACATCGACAGAGAGCGAGACGCACCCAGTATAACAGTTAATATGGTAGCGAGGGACAGAGAGCAGGCTGTAGCCAGCATGATGTTAGGTAGTGCGACAGCTAATAGGGGACCCGTCTCAATACCCTGTGTACATAACGCACTACCAATAAATATGTCCTGAAGATCTCAAGAGCTCGCTCTGCATGTCCTTGAGTTCTCAGCAATACAACTGCCAAGTGTGAAGAGGATCAGACGAGTGGTTGTCGAGAAACTTGAAGGACAGACAGAGACTTCTTTTTAGTTTGATAAAGCTTCAGTTTGTGACAGCACTCCTCTTTTCCTAGTCTGTTTTGCTAATACTGCACATGTTTGTATTATAATTCTTCCATCTATATTCACTCCAGTCAAATGGATCTCCTGCTGTGCACCAGATTGTTTTTTTTTTATAATTACGTACCGTATCAGTTGAATATTGTTTTATTTTAGGTTTTGATAAACTGGGCAGTAATTCAGTGTTATTATGTTGGAGCATGCTGTTGTAGTCACGGCTTTTTAATAAGGTGCAACAACGTACGGCTGCAACTAATGATTATTTTCGGTATTGATTAAGTTGGTTCATTGGGAAATGGTGGAGAAAAAAATGCAATTTCCCAAAGCAAATAGTGATGTCTTCAAATCATTTTAACAGACCATCAGTCCAAACCCCCAAAGATATTCAATTCAGGGATGCAACTAAAGATTATTTTTATGATTGATAACTCTGCAGATTATTTCATTGATTTATCCATCGGATACCCATTATATCATCCCAAAGAAAAAGGTGGTAGAAATAGCTTGTTTTGTCTGATTTACAGTCAAAATAATCAGTTTAATAGAACATATGACACAGAAAAGTTCCCCGCATGTACCATGTTTTGCCGTTTTTACTTAAAGGGTGACTGAAATGGTTACTCGGTCATCAAAATAACTGGCAATACATTTTCAGTTCATTGACTAATTGATTAATTATTGACAAATTCTTCCAGCTCTTATACAATGATATAAATCATATTTTACATGCCAAAGTCTGGAATTTTAACTTAAACGGGTATCAAACTTCTTTGCCATTGATTTGGGTTTTATACATTTGATATATTACACATCATACATTGTGCAGTAGTGCAGTAGATCACCATGACAGAGGACTCTTACAAATGTATTGGCCATGTAAAGACGTTTTGAATAAAGTTATCTTAAACAACCTGCATCACCAAGGCCCATGGGAGTCTTGGTGATTAAGCTTATAAAACAGCAAGCTGAGAGAACTTTCCCTACTCGGAGTCATCAATACTCTTGAGTTCCATTTTTCATGCAGGGTTGTATAATCTTGTTTGCTCTGTCAGGCAGCCGGTGATTTAGAGAACGTGGAAACTAAGTGACCTCCTCTGCCCTGTAAAGGCTGGACTCATTCAGAACATTAAATTGCGACCATGGCTGGCTCCACATTGAAATGCATTGCCTGCACAACAACGTCATATTTACAGTATAACACTGAGCAGCATTAGTTACCAGGGCGCATAAAGCTGTCAATATACACTCTTTTCACCATCACTACAGCATCTCTCAAGGCAACTTAGTGCTTCAATCTCAATTCATCACTCAGCACAGAATGAGCCCATGTATTGTATTATACTGGCTGGAGATTGAGTCCTTTAGTCCTTATCCTTCCCCGAGCTCAGGAGTAGGAGTGAATGCCATCGGGCAACATCCTGGACAGCCCTGTCTCAGGCCCTCCAGTCCCCCCATGTGCTTTGGATTAGGACAGAAGGGTCCAAAACCAGGTCTGCCTGTACCTTTACATTGATTTACAAGCACACTAGTAACCTCCGTCAAATTAAACGACACAATACGTCATTTTAGAACAATATAGAGAGCAGTCTTCTGACCCGACACTCCTATCAGGACAACGTTATTTATCTGTGTCTTTCAAAAGTGTCACAAATCACTGTTGCAAAAATAAATCTGTTTTATGATGTGACACTATTTTCAATCTTTGGTTTAGGCTCAGTAATGACTTGGTTGTGTTTAGGGAAACATCACGGTTTGGGTGATTTTTTAGTACTTAGTTAGGGGTCCTTAGAGGTTATTATAAACCAAAATCGATTGACTGTAGGAAACAGGAAATGAACAGCAGTCCCCTGAGATAGGAAGGCATTTTGTCAACCCATCAATTGACCTCGACCTCCTTCCTCTGCAGAATTTGCCGCTCTATGATCACATCACCTGATGTCCTCCTTATACCGATGGACAAGAGTCATTATTATTTTACTTTCATTTCTATCTTCAGCATCCTGGTCATGTTTTTGCACATGCAAACACCATATTCTTGTTTCAAAAATCTGAAAATACTAACTGGAGAACAGGTTATTTGCTAAATCCAAGACATGAAGCAGGTAGTCAGTGAAGAAAAGACAAATATAATTACCAATGCAATGTCTACATGCTGAAATATCAGTAAACTTCTGAAGATTAGAAGGAGGAATCAAAGCAAAAATCAAAGACACGCCGGCACTGATGATCAGAAACCTGGATATCATTAGAATCATGTAAACTGGGACATGAACATATATACATATAGTTTCTCTAGGTTTCATTTAAACAATCTCAACATGGTCATGTAAAAGCTACCTTAAATATTGTTGTCACTAGCAGAAAACCCATTGTGTATTAAATTATATTTTTTGTTGAGAAGTAGAACGTTTTCGTACATTTTTTACAATTTCAACAATAACATTAAAATTCAAGCAGCTGGTAAGAAAACGTGAAGCTTTGAAAGACCGGAACTGGGATGTTATCAGGTACTAACGGCACTGAAACACAATGTAGACATAAAAAGACTGACTGTGGTTTTACACACAAACACGAACGCATGCATGGACCATCCATCTGTCCTGCCACAGCACTGCGCCCCACCGTTCATCTACACATACGCACACACACTTACATTCATCTATAATATAATACATATCGTATATTCCCGGTGGACGCACGCCGCCGTCAAGGTTGTGATGTTTATTGTTTACAATGTGGCCGTTTCTCTTCATGTGACAGTGACGTATGAGGGGGACAACTGGGCTGCAGCCACAGCTGATGCTCCTCCCCTCTGTCCCAGAAAACAGCAGGATAATAAAATGAGAGAGGAAATGACCGACTTCACCGCTGCATCTTGCACACGGTCTGCTTCAGAGGTATTCTGAGAGCCGAGAACATGACTTTGATGGAAACGCTTTACACTTACTAAATACTCGATAAATAAGTAATGAGTCATTTTCAAGACACCAACGTAATGTGCATGTGTAGGAGTGTGAACGACCGCAGCAGATATGCTTAGAAAGTAGGTGTGGGTGTGTGAAAGTATGAGTGCGGCAGAGTGACGAAGGCAAGGAAAGATCAATGAAGCTAAACTGCGAGATATGTCCTGCGTTTTAAATACAGCCACAGGTTTCTATATTAAGTCTTAATAATGAAAGCTGTTTATGACAAGGTACCGCATGGTATATCTGTGTTGTCCCAAATATTATGACAAGCAAATCAGTTCAGTTAAACACGGACATTCTTAAGAATTATTTCATTATGGCTGCAGCTAATGATTATTTTTGGCATAGATTAATCTAACAGTTATTGATTAAACAGAAATGCTACCAAACTAAATATTCGTTGTTTTATGTGATTGTTTAAAAGCCAAAGAACTTTCTTCAACAGAAAAAAGAAGAAAAACGAGAAATGTCACAATTGAGTGGCACAAACCAGAGAATGTTGGACATATTTGCTTGAAAAAAAAAAACAAGAAATATATATATATATTTCGTTTAATTCAAATCCAAACCCCTTTCGATACATTTCTGCATTAACTAAAAGCCAGATCATAGAACCCGTTGTTGAAAAAAGCTGGCAGCAACAAGTCCCATGTGTGATTGCATGCAACAGGAGGCCTCTACATACCACGACGTGCTATTTATTCAGCCTTTTAAATCGACTTGTCCGTGGTATTACCCCAGCTTAGTGCCAGACAAGCAAACAGACAGACGAGGGGGATGCGCATGCACTCCGCACAAAGGATCATGGTAAACAAAGTAAACAAATGCCCTCATATGATGGGGTCTAATCCCACTTAGGGTATCAGTGTAGTCAAATGCCACATCCATCCCTCCCTGCTCCTCATCAAAGATATCCACCAGCTGCAACCCTCCCCCCACCCTTTGCTCAGCTCACCCCTCTTCCTCCCCCTATCCTGACACCCATCCATCTCTCCCCTTACTGGGTAACAAACAGGAGAAGTATGGAAGTCATTTTACAGCTTTATTGTCCCACTCCAGCTCAACAAACTCCCTCCCTCCCTCCTTACTTCCACCTTCACGTACTTTACCACCCCCTTCCTCTAAATTAGTCATGATTAATGTGTACACCACGCATTGGGCCGTCTTAATTAAATAACACCATCTAATTAGGGGCCGATTTCGGCTGGTAATGGCGCTGTAAGATGGCGGAATGGGATTGTGCGGCGTGACAAAACATTCATGAAGTCCGTCAAACTCCCTGGGCGGTCACACTCCCCTGGTTTCACACAAACAGCCCCCCTCCTAATCTGACAGTTATATTAAAATGCAAATAGCCCAGATGTGAGGGTTTGGTAACAAGTGAGGCTTACAGCTCCCAGGGTGCCACAATGGACCGGCTTTCTCCCCCCCACCCCCCCTGATATGATATAAGCCAGGTAACAGGTTGATAGCTGTTGACCTAGAAGAGGCTGTTTAAATATTGGCACTGTTGGACATGTGTACGATTATGCAGTCTGGAAATCTCTTGGAGCCGAGAGATAACGGCTCTGATGAATCCATTTTACATGAATAAATACTTGTCATCCGAAAAGATGTACAATCCCTTATCAGTGATTGTTTACGGTCCTGATAGCGCGGTTTTGTGGACGTATCGCTCGTTTTGATTGAATGAAGCTCAAGACAGACTGAAAGGGCAAAGAAAATGAAAGCATATTAATGAGCGAAGGGCACGGGCGGCACACGGCATCAGGTCAGGGAGACAGATGCTAACGCCCCCCCCCCCCCCCTCCCTTCCCCCTCCAACCTCGCCACACACACACACTCAACACACACATGCATGTCCCAGCTAACTTGAGCAAGGTGCGAGACGTGAACAATATGTGGTTGGTGTCTGTGTGTGTGTGTGGGACGCCCTGTCTAGCCAGCAGAAGAGCATCCCCTGCAGTGCACCATCATGGCTAGATGTCAAAGCCAGCTATTCCAAAATACCTACCCTTTAAAAACCCTTAGCAGCAATAATACCTCGCAGCGGCTTGTTCTTTTGGTACAAATAAAAAGGAAAAACACCATTCACTCCCACAGAGGGGCAGCTGCAGTCACAAAGGGATATTGTACTTTCCCTTTGTGCTGTAGCTAAAGAGAAAACTACAACATCCTTGCTGTGGGGGTGAGGGATTGGTTGGAGTAGTGAAGGGGGCGATGCAAATAGGGTTTGGACATGGATCAAAAGACTTAAGTTTCACTGCATCATCGGGGCTGGACCACTTCTCCCGCTCCCCCTTTCCCCAGGACTCCCATCCTCTCAGCCCCCCCCCCCCCCTTTTTCAGCTCACTCTGCTGCATTCATGCTATCGCAGCCGGTAGACCGTCTTCCGAGGGGCATCCTGGCAGAGTGTGAACATTGCTCTTACATGTTGGTCTTGAACAGAGATGTGAACACTAATGGTTTTTGGCAGGGCCCGGGTCCTCAGTGGACACGCTGCTGGAGCAGAAAGAAAACAAGCGGGAGAAGCGGGACAGGAGGGGAGGGGGGGGGGGGGGGTTGGGACAAGTGCAGAAAAAGACCAGGTGTCTTGGCAGCGGCGGGCTCACTCGCTTTACAACAGCACCATCTGTCTTCGTGGTGAGAGCCTTACATTGTTGGATAAATGATGTCGCTGCTCAACACGCATCCAGAGCAATGGGTGGGTTTTAGTGGCGTGTCAGCCAGTTTAATTGTTTAATAGGCTGTTGTGGTTGCTACTTTTTATATCTGGACGAAGTGATGCGGCTAATATGAGCAGAGTGACTCGCACATGTTAGATGGACATAAATTATACATCATATTATAAATGATTTACTTTCATCTCTGAAAATGCCTGAGTGACTCATTATTTTTCCTGAAGTATTATCCGAATGTCATCTAGTGAAAGAGTCCGAACGGCAAAGAGATGCACTGACGGACTCTAAAGGGCCCCTCTTCCTCGGCATTTCAAGGCACAAATGAGAGGCAGTAAAAAGGAATCCTCTTTGTGACAGATGCACTCAGCGCGCCAGCAAATGTAACTTTTCCCTGAGCAAGCAACATTCATCGTCTCAGCGGTCCTGCACCTCTCTGCTCAGCCGCTCGCTTCCTTTTTCTCCGGCCGACTGGAGAGACGGGACAAGATGGATGCCGGTGTCACCGCGCTGGCCGGAGTGACAGATGGGCTGATTATGCGAACGCATCCCTCTGGCCGTAGAAAAACACAACAACTTGCCTGCAAGCTAATCGCCTTCATCTGCCTGCACCGTATGGATAGTTGATGTGTGTTGTTAATATGGAAAAAGCAGCAGTGTACGGACAGATCCCTTTATAGCCATGGCCTCCCTCTTGACAGCTTGTACCAGAATAGACACCTGCCACACAGTTTTTTACAGCCCCCAAACACTCAAAACGGTAAATCACCTATTGGCAACCTCGTGTCTGGCTGGCTGGCTTCAAGGGCATGTTTTCCTACCTCTAGACGGACACATTGCAGATGCATAAACGGATTCCTGTCACTGGCTTGATGTGTGGGTGGGTGTCAGGCTCTGCAGTGCGCAGTTGCAAGGCATTATCCAAGAGAGACATGGCAAACACACCTTGGTTTTTGGCCAAAGATATGTAAGAAAAAAAAAAAAAAAAGAAAAGATCATGGGAGAATAAGTGTGGGTGCTGAAGGTGCTCTTTCAGGATTAACCACCCTCCTCTTGCCTGCGCCTACCTGAGATTTAAAGTCCGGGCTGATTAATCATACTGCCATTGAGTCTCTGTTCAGGCGCGACGTTTAGATCAATCACGCCCGCCGGAGGGGAGTGTACAGTGGCTTTTACAAATGGGAAGCAGAGAATGAGGAAAAAGGGGGCAGAGAGAGAGAGAGAGAGAGAGAGAGAGAGATTGAATGGCTTACTCCATGCTCCCAGCCATCAGCAGGAAAAGGTTGTAGATGTGTGAGAAGATGAAGAGGAAGAGGATGGCGCTGAAGAACATGGTCATCCAGGAGCCATGATCCTCGCGGAACATTTTCAGGCGCAGGTATCGACCTAAAGGAGGCATGACAAGGACACTGCTGTCAGTGGGGGGGGGTTCAAACAGCACGTCAACCTGCTAACATGTACGGCCACGAAAATGAAGATGAAAGTAAATAAATTAGTCACACAGATCAATAATGTCCCCCTCTGTCAGACAGCGTGCCCTTTTTAGCGCTGAAATTAAGATTAAAGACCACTCCGAGGTGTCACTTCCACAGCCTTGAAGTGATTGTTTTATCCTGACCAATTTCATCAGCAACCCCAACAGAAAATATTCCACGTACACATCATTTCATGCATCTGTTGGACATGATGTCAGTGGATTGATGCTCGCCTTTTGTTTCGTGATGGGAGCTCTGCATGATTAGAGAAATGATTCAAACAGTTGTGACCTGTGGTGTTTTGTTTTAATACAATGCATGGCTTGCAATCAAATGATTGAGATGCGTTTCTCCGGCAGAGCATGAGATTGATTCAGGTATGCAGGCCTCTGCACAGAGAGCATAATCCCACGAGCTTGTCCTCTGGTGGTGGCAGCGCTCACCACTCCTCACGAACAAGGTTCTTCTTATACGACGTTTAGCTTGTTGTTGTACCTTGAAAAGACTACAGTGGCTGCTTATAGCTCCTCCGTGGCCAGCTATGAATATAATGACGGACTAATTGTTATTTTGGTCGCCCCCTAATAACAAAACAGAAACATATTTATATCTTTAATTCAAGGACATGTTTTTCTGGTCAGAGTGGCATAATGAAAAAGCATTACATAAGTAAAGTATAAATTACTGAGAGATCTGAATAATACCATGTGTGATGCAATTAGGGGTGCATAATGTAATAGTCCTTGATCTACCTCCCACACTGCTCGTGTAACAGAAGCAATCCACTTTGTACATTTAGGGTGTTTGTTACCACCACCATCACTCAGACCTGGGTCAAATAGGATTTGCAAATTAAATCGTTTTTTTTTTTTTTTTTAAATGACTGCTACCACCTGCAAGTTGAGGGTTACGTAACTGACTTTTGGGTTGCTAGCTGGTCTACTGGTACTGTAGAAGAGAGGAACCAGTGGAAATGTCTTGGAGCTTGACTTACTCAACTTGTTACATTTCCTTTTTCTTTCATTTATATTACACTAATACAAATTGTGATTTGAACAATGCAGAAATGAAAAAAAAGACATAAAAACTAAATTTATGTGAGAAAGGTATGACAGTATATTCATTATGAATAATCATGCACACAACACTTGGTTGATCAGAATTTGAAAACCGCATTAAAAGGTCCCCTATACATATTCTTTCCATGTCTTACGGTTCTATCATCGCAGAATTTCCCTCACATTTTTGGGTTTGTCGCAGAAAAGAAATAAGATTGAGAGGGCTACACATGCTATATAAATGTACTGGATACATATTTAATCAGGATTTAGGTAAATATAAGTATCTACTCCCTAATATGAACAGTCCTCATACAGTGAACCCACACACACACACACTTTGAGGCTCTCCCTCTGCTGTGATCTGGTGCCATCTTCCCAGGAACAACTCTTTGTTTTTTCTCTCCTCCAGCTCAGTCAGCATCCCTTTGAGTTACAGCTCCTCTGGGACCTCATTGTGTTTATCTCCACAAACACACACACACACACGCACACACACTCGCAAACACACACAGCAAAGCAGAATGCTCCATTTATTTTCCCATTACAGCCTGGCTGGTTCACTCTCCAATAGTTTTACATGCTGTTCAATCTCAGCTTGCTCACTTTTAGGTTTTTTTCCTCGCTGCTCACACAAAAACAAAGATGTTGATACTCCTATGGAGATGAGGATCTCTGTTGAGTTAAAGTGCAGTTATAATGAATGGGACCTCCTGTTGTAGGTTCAGATATATTATGCAGAGTAACCCTTTACATCTTAGCGAACAACAGATCTGCAGTGATAATAACCGACCAAAGGTAAAACCGATTGTTAAGCTTTACAGAAGGGAATATTAACTTTAATATTCTCTTAATAACACTAGTCAACCGTACATTTTGAGGGTGTTGTAAGCAGAAGCAAGGTTTAGTGCGAGGCCACACCATACGTCTTGCTCTGTGGTATTTCAGGGCTCATCACAGATGCATAATTGAATTGACTTGCATGGGTAAACTTAATTGCCTCAAGTGCCAATGAGCCCTGGCTTAGATGTAGGAGCACAGTGTGTATCGGCAGATCTGACTTTTAAAGTAGCACGCCGCGCCAGCGAGCACAGCCGCCCTCTCACAGCCTATATGGGCGGGATTTAACTAGGGGGGTGATTCAAGACTATTCAGCCCAGCCGCTTGAGTCACTGCACCTCCCGACAGTGGAGGAGCCCGATAAGGTGTGATTCATGAGCGCTGCCCGCTGCGAGGCTCAGCCCGGCAGGGGACAACAACACATTCACAAGGCAGCGCACACACACACACACACACACACACACACACACACGAAAAAAAACAACTGTGAGGGACACATGTTTTATCTGTTTTTTAATTTCACTCACCCACACTGCAAACACACCCACTAACATGGACCAAGCTGCTGTACTACTCAAAATAATGAAACTACAGTTCGAATCCCTTTGACAGTATTTACAGAATCATTCCTCTGAAGCTATTTATAGTGTCGTGTTTGGGATGAGATCATATCCACTTCTAAAGTTGTTTTCCGAATGAAAATCAAACATGTAGCTGTGTCTCCATCTAGTGGTGATAAGCGGACACGCGCCACAGAGCTGAGATATAGAAATTAAGCAGTCAACATACTGTGTCCTACTTTTTTTGGGGAGGTGTCCAATACAATCTTAGTCGTTGGGAAGAAAGCATTAGACCATTTGAGGGGACCTCTGGTGTCATTTGAACATCTGTGTCTGAATTCAGTGCCAGTATTAGCATTTGTGGAAAAACAAATTCAGTGTTGGGAATTACTTCCAATGATGTGAATGTAGCCTACTTTACAGCCTCAACAGCCCATTTCTGTTGAAGCTAATGAACACACTGAGCACAATGCTGCCATGTTAGTACAAACCACGTTCACAATACCTTCTAAATAACAACGAATTAACCAATGATAAGAAACCAGAACAAAAATGACTTCAAACTGTCAAACTGCGTGTTGTTCGGTCCGGATACATTGCAGTGGGTGGCAGAGGAGTATCCAGACATTAGTCTACACTCTATAGTTTAGGCCAAGCAGCCTGCCAAGGAAGCTGCTTTTAACTTTAGTAAATAGTGAACAAGATTACACACACTATAGTGTGTGTAATTAAATAATTTATTTAATTTATTTGTATACAAATCCAGTAAAACCAATATTTTAATTGAAGAAGCTGGGACTAGAGGGCCTTTTATACACTCAGTTTATTAGGTACACCTTCCTTTAACTAATGCAGTCTAATAAAAAAGTCCTGCAATAAATCCTACTTTGATGAAGGTTATAATGTTCAGTTTTTGTTTTAGAGAGGTGTCGATTCAACTGTACGATCATCAGGGAGTTTGTGTTGTTGTTGAATTGTATTGCACTATATTGACAGGTGTTTCTATTAATTTGTCCCCCCCAATTTATATCAACGAGGGTTGGCTAAATAGCAGAAACACCGCTCTTCACTGCAGGACTGCAGGTGTACCTAAAACACTGGCCACTGAGTGCATGTTCAAATCCCCAGTAATTCTTAAGGGCACAACAACGTTGTTAGGACTCCCAATCCAGTCCACATTGTCTCAGTCACTCAAGGGATTCAAACTGCCAACGTTACGGTTATCTTTCTGATAATGAGATCACATGCAATAGTTCCGGAAAGTCACCTAATTTAAAGGAGTCATCAACTCACAGGACACCCAGAGGACATGGAGCCAGAAACACAAACAGTATAACTAGCAGAGATCAGCAGTTAAACACCTGCACCGGCGCACACAGACAAGCAATTACTGAATGTAGCTTACATGTTTTAACAGTGATTTCCTGTATCACACACACACACACACACACACACACACACACACA